GTTTCTTTTTGGAGGTAGAAGAAACCTCAGAAAAATAGGTTAAAAAGTCACAGCCAGAAACAACAAACTGCGGGAAACTAACTAAATAAACAAATCTTAAAAGTAGTCAGAAAAAAATACATTATTTGCAGAGAAGCAATGATTATAATGAAAGGACAGTTATGATTAAAATCCAAAGGATTTAAATAAAAAGTAGGGCACTTTAAAAGCACTACAAAAAAAAAATCCATATCCAACAAAAATACTCTTGAAGTGCCATCAACTACAACCCCCGGTGTATGTGTAGGCTAGTATGCGTGATGGACAGAGCCGGAGCCCATACCAGCTAGCACACACAGGGTTGAAGTCTGGGGTCACCTCAGTTGTTGAAGCCTACGCAGCAGCTGGCATACAGACGCACAGAGGATATGGCAGTCCACTGGGGCCTGCAGAAGACACCTTACATGTAACACAGGATGGAGGACAGAACAAATTGAACAAATCTCCCAGCCAAGCAATTATCTGGGTAAATAGGACTCTAAGGTGGACTATGTCAACCAAAGGATCTCAGATTTTCTCATCCTTTGAACGACAAAATCAATAGCATTTCAGAACTACTGAAACCACTTGAGCAGTACCCTGGGAGCACGCTTCACATCAAGGACCCTGGGATGACATTGGGGTAATGATGCAGTTAGCATGCTGGGTGCGGCTTCTCCCCTTCTTTTCCCACTTTCCCAAGATAAAAGAATGGTCCCAAGAAACAATGGTCTATTCACTCTCCCCTATTCCTCAATCATACCCACCCTAATCAGTGATCCACATGGGCATACATCCATCTCAAGTTATGTAAACATCATCAAAATTAAAAAATTTTTAAATGCAAAAAAAATGTTCCTGAGCTGTATCCAGTTAAGCCACTACTCAGGAAGCCAAAATCCAATATTGCATGCAGAGCCAGTGTAAATCCTGGCTGTTCCACTTCCAAGCCAGCTCCCTGCCAAGGTACCTGGGAAGGCAGCAGATTATGGTCCAAGTACCCGGGTCCCTGGCAGCCACACAGGAGATCAGAATGGAATCCCTGGCTTGACCCAGACCCAGGCACTGTGGCCATTTATCTGCAGAGTAAACCAGTAGCTGGAAGTTAGCACTCTCTCTTCCTCTCAATTTTTTCTCTCTTACTGCCTTTCAAACAAATCAATCTTTTAAAAAATTCTATATCTTGCAAAAATAAACTTCATAACAGGGTAAAATAAAGACATTCTCATAAAGACATTGAAGACAACTTCTGCCAACAAAACAGCTCAAAATGGATCGCAAAATGAAGTACACCCAAGAGAACAGAGATTAGACACAACAGAAGAAAAACAAAAATCGTAAATATAACAATCTTTCATGTCAGTTCTTTAGTATATAAAACAGTTGAAAACAAAGTCATTATAGCATCTAACAGGATTTTCTTTGTTTTTTTTAAAGATTTATTTTTATTGGAAAGGCAGATATACAGAGAGGAGAGACAGAGAGGAAGATCTTCCGTCCGATGATTCACTCCCCAAGTGAGCGCAATGGCCGATGCTATGCCGATCCGAAGCCAGGAGCCTCTTCGGGTCTCCCACACGGGTGCAGGGTCCCAAAGCCTTGGGCCGTCCTCGACTGCTCTCCCGGGCCACAGGCAGGGAGCTAGATGGGAAGCAGGGCCGCCGGGACTAGAACCAGTGCCCATATGGGATCCCGGGCGTGCAAGGCAAGGACCTTAACTACTGTGCCACCATGTCGGGCCCTAACAGGATTTTCAATGTATGTAGATAACAATAAGACACCTACCACTTAAGAGTGGGGAGGGCATTATGCCATAAAGGCTTCTATTGCCCACTTAAGGTGATAAAGATTGGAGCGAGGGGGGCAGTGATGTGGCATAACATGCAAAGCCACCAAGGTCTGCTATGTCAGAATCCGAACCTGTAGGTGCCAGTTTGAATCCCTAGTAGTCCACTTCCAATCCAGTTCTATGCTAATGTGCCTGGGAAAGCTGTGGAAGACAGTCCAAGTGCTTGGGACCCTGCACCCAGAGACCCAAAAGAGCTCCCAGCTCCAGGCTTTGGGCTGGCGTCACCTTGGTGGCGCTTGTGGCTCAAACAGTGCATGGAAGATCCCTATATTTCCCTCTCTATTAACTCTGCCTTTTCAATTAGTTACATATTTAAAAAAACAAATCAACCAAAAACACCATGGAGGCCGACTTTGTGGGGCAGCATGTTGTTCAATCTGCCCCTTTTTCCATGTGTTGATGAGGCACTTAAGGTCTTCTGATGAATTAGAGAAGCTAGCATCCTACCTTTTGTGTGCACCTGGGTATATCACTTATTCTTTTTTTTTTTAAAGATTTATTTTTTATTGGAAAGGCAGTTTTACAGAGAGGAGAGACAGGAAGGAAGATCTTCCGTCCAATGGTTCACTCCCCAAGCGGCCCGAACGGCTGGAGCTGAGCCAATCTGAAGCCAGGAGCCAGGACTCCCATGCGGGTCTCCCGTGTGGGTGCAGGGTCCCAAAGTCTTGGGCCGTCCACGACTGCATTCCCTGGTCACAGGCAGGAAGCTGGATGGGAAGTGGGGCAGCCAGGACACAAACCAGTGCCCATATGGGATCCTGGCACATTCAAGGCGAGGACCTTAACCCCTACACTATCGCGCCGGTCCATATCACTTATTCTTGCAAGGCTATTAGCAACACAAGTGGCCCAGCTTTGTGACGTGTGCTCTATTGCCAGCCCAAGCATTCAGGTGATATTCCCTGAGGTCAGGGATCATGTATAACAGTTCAGTAAGGAAGACCTACTGGGCAGTCGGCAGACCATGCTCACATGTGTGCAGGTGGGTACAGTGGCTCAGCTCATCCCTAGGGCCCGGCTCGTGCACATCCCTGTGGGTACTGCAGCCTAGGTATTTTTTAATACCATACTATAATACACTAAACACAAACATCAGTCAACAAAGTACAAAACTATTTGAATTCACTTTTATCTGTTTAATAACATGAATAAACTAAATTAAAACAAAGGTTTCAAAAGAAAAAGAAATCCTTTAATGAGAGAAAACCTATAGTAACTGCTGTTAGTAACTGTTCACTATTGCTAACAACTGCTGCTAATACTACAGTGTTAAAAACCAAAATGAGTATTCATATAAACCAGAAACGCCAAGCAGGTGAGTTTGGGAATGCTCATGGGCTAGCCCACCAAGGTAATAAGTATGGGAAGGAAAACCAGACTAGTCAGATTGAAAGAACCAGATAGTCAGACTGAAAAAGTTTCTCTGGAGACACAGATTTATGGGCATTAGTTTCAAGTTGCAACTGCCTTTTTTCTCTTTAACCAAAACTACCAAAAACTAATTCTTATTTGTACTTGTACTTGTAATCTCAAGTATCTGATAGCAACTAAGGAACTTCTGAAAACATATTCACTACTGAAAAACTTCCTTGCATGGGGCTCAATCTCTAAAATTCCATTCCCTGCAGAATACTGCCCAGCCTCTGTCATAAGAATTGTCCACTTTGCCACAGCTACATCTCCTAGCACGTGGAGGAACGCCAGTCACTGCCTTCCTCCAGGTGGCTGCCCCCAGCTGTAACTGAGGCCTAGCTCTCCCTGCATGATGTTGCTCAAGAAAACCGTTAACCATCTGTAAATAAAAACCGTTGCACAAAGTTGTCAATGTGAAAGCAACTCAGCTACAAATCAATACAATAATGCCATCTGGAGCTATGTGCTCCTGTGACTTTCTACTTGAACTCACTGTCTTCTGTTTATTATAAATGATACACACCTCGAAAATGCTAGTCACAGGCCCTTCATTATTCTTCACAGAGCTGCCATTTTTAAGTCAGTTCAAATTGAATTCCATCTAGATATGAACGAAACTCCATCTAGCTGTAAGCAGCATTCCTGGATGTTTGCACTGCTGCTGTACTTCGTTTCATGCAGAACACGGGCCCAATGTCAACTCACACCATCTCCCAGACCATGCAGCACAGCCTTACCACAATCTTCAGGCCAACCCCCTGACATTCTATATCACAGCATATGTATAACAGATCTCCTCCCACTCAAAAAAGTGAGCCCTATAAAAGCAGATAATCTATGCTATCATCTTTCTTTCACAGAAAAAAAAAAAAAACTTTTAAGTTTCAGGAACTTTTTACTACATTAACACTAAGCTACAGTGTAGTATAGTTCAGTATTCTCAGCTTGTCTATTCCTACTATAACATGGAATAAAGACATTTTGAACATGAAACTAGTTAATCTAGTGATATAAACATGCCAGCCATCTCTTCCTTCCCTATCATACTTTTTCACTTCTTCCCTCCAATAAAAGCTCCCTTTCCTTGACTGAAGGAAGATTTTCATGAAAGAGGCCATGCTAGCCTCCCTTAGGCTGTGCAGCTCTGGCCCCTGACCCAGGTTCCCGCAGACCCTGAGTAGCTTGGGCAAAGTGCTAATGCCTCAGGCAACTAATCTGTGGCACTCACACAAGAAACTCAGCCTGAGCTCCTGGCGCACACCTTCAGCCTAGCCCAGTGTAGGCCATGCAGGCAGCTACAGAATGAACTGGTGGGTAACAGCACATCCATGGGCTTTCCCTCCTTCCTTCTCAAATAAATGACTTTTTTAAAGTAACATCGCATTTAAAGTCAGTCCTGCTCCCCAAAAAATATATAGAAGAGGATAAAACATGTTCCTTCATACAGTCATCCCTCCTGTCAATGGGCAGACTCACTAGATGTAATTTAAAATACACTGAGGTGGGCTTCAGAGCAGACAAATCAGCTTGGGAGATTCCTCTTAAAAAGAAAAGATAATGCTTAAGGCTAAGCAGACAACTACTCAATTCAAATGAAAACTGTCTCTCATTTATCCCAGACACACATACCAAAACTTGCTCTTAAAAGGTCCTAGATTCAAAATCTGAAAGTACACTCAGATACACACTGGAAACTACATTTCATTTTTTATTTGTTTTTAGCTTTGCAAAGTGGCAGTATCGTAGCCAATGAGGTTTATCCAAGGTGTGATTATTGCTAACTGAAAACTTTTCCCATTTTTTGTTTGTTTTAAAGTAATTTCCTTGGGGAACAGGACACTTTACTTCTACCAATGTAGAGCATATGTCTACAGTCCAGAATTTTTTCCCCACACTTTTTATTCCATGAATCAATAGGAAATCAGAGGCCCAGTGCAATGGCTCAGTAGATAAACCCTCGCTTTGTATGAGCCAGGAAGCCATATTGGCACTGGTTCCTATCCCGGTTCATTTCCCACTGCTCCACTTCCCATCCAGCTCCCTGCTTGTGGCCTGGGAAACCAGTAGAGGATGGCCCAAAGCTTTGGGACCCTGCACCCATCTGGGAAACCCAGAAGAAACTCCTGGCTACAGATCGACTCAGCTCCGACTGTTGCAGCTACTGGGGGAGTTGAACCAGCAGACACAAGATGTTTCTGTTGCTCCTCTTTGCCAATCTACCTTTCCAATAAAAATAATCTTTAAAAATCTTTTTAAAAAAAAATAAATAAGAAGAAATCAGTTCTAGCAGCTCCAGCTTCTTCCCACTGGTTCTAACAAAGTGGATTTCTCTGGACCGAGTGGGCTGGCACATCAATGAACCCAGTTGCCATCCATTCTCTTTGGCTTCCTTCTTTTTCTGACCATTTTCTCTCACATGTTTCAGGAAATATAGTCTGTTCAACACACACATTAACTCACTTGACAAGAAATTTGTCCTTGTTTAGAATGATGCCAACAGCTTGCTGGATACCGTTATGGACTCTTCCAGTTGGGCCACAGTAACATTCACAGGGCAGTGCTTCGGGAACAGGACCTATCTCCTATAACTCTACAAAGCAGCTTTCTTGTAGGTTCCCAAGAGGGCCACAGAGGAAGCTCCACATTTTCTAAAATGCCTGGAGCTGGGGAGTCAGTTTTTTTCTACTCCCTATGCTCCTCATGTGGGCAAATTCTAGAAGATGGCAGTTCCAAGTAAAAGATAAACTGGCATGAGTTTGAAAATACAAAAATTACTTGAGCAGCCTTCACTGCAGACCATTTAAGTCAGAATACTGAGGCCCATGCACACTATTTTTAAAGCTCCGCTTTGTGATTCTAAAGATAAACCAAAGCCAGCACTGCTGCCTTCTGCCATTTCCCCAATTCTTCTGTCTTCCTACTCCATAAATCAAAGTACAAGCACAATAACAAAGATTTAAATTCCTGAAACCCACAATGAGTCTCAGAAGCATCTCATCTTCTCTAATTTAAAATGTGTATCATGTCCTCTAAAAAGAATATTTACCTCTTTTAAAATATATTCCTGAGTTAACTATAAAACTGGATCAAATTTTTTTTCTTTTTTCTTTTTTTTTTTAATTTTTCATTTGCGTATTCATTTGGAATTGTGAAGCAGGGTTGGAGAGCTCTAACCCACCGCTTCACCCTGCAAGCTGCCACAATAGCCTGGAGTCCAGACTCCGTGTCTCCTGTGAGGCTGGCAAGGACCCTAGTACTTAAGCCAGGTGCACATGAGCAGGAATCTGGACTCAGAAACAGAAGTAGAGTCAATCACTACAGGAGTCTATTGCTACAGCAAACTCCACTGCCATCTACTACTTTTTTATAAGCACACTGTTGGGGGGGCAGGGAAACGGTTAAGGGCCCAGTGTGGTAGTCTAGTGGCTAAGTCATTGCCTTGTATGCGCCAGGATCCCAAAGGGTGCTGGATCATACCCCTGCTACTCCATTTCTCTTCCAGCCCCCCGCTGTACCCTGGGAAAGCAGTCAAGGATGGCATGAAGCCTTTGGACTGTGCAGCCCCATGGCAGACCCAGAAGAAGCTCCTGGCTTTGGATCAGTTGAGCTTTGGCCAGTGTGGCCACTTGGGGAGTGAACCAGCAGATGGAAGTTCTTCCTCTCTGTCTCTCCTCTCTAAATCTGATTTTCCAATAAAAATAAATAAATCTTTAAAAACTGTTGAAGTCACAGACTGTTAATAAAGCAATGATTCTATTCTTGTTATTTGTACCTTCATTATCTCTTCTGTACATACACATATTTTTAGGAAATTGTATCTTTCCTGTAACAATTAAGTTTAAATTTCTCATATTCCTTACATTTGATGTGCTATAGGTTACAAGGAATTTCTACATTCATTCATTATCTTATTGGATAAAGTAGTCTGGGCAGGTATTAGGCACCTGTTGCTGCAAATGCGGCGCACCACAGGAGTGCCTTACCAAGAGCACTTCCCTGGCACATGAGCAATAGTACCTCACACTTCCCTGAGAGGTACTCCCTGCTCACCTCCACAATCTTCATACACACTTCATTACAAAATTTACCATTATTTTCTATCTGTAGTTACAACCAATGTTCCTAAAGATACTCTAAGTATGGTTACAACAAGCACTTTCAGGCCCAGCAGCGTGGCCTAGTGGCTAAAGTCCTCTCCTTGAATGCGCTGGGATCCCATATGGGCACCAGTTCTAATCCCGGCAGCTCCACTTCCCATCCAGCTCCCTGCTTGTGGCCTGGGAAAGCAGTGGAGGACAGCCCAAAGCTTTGAGAACCTGCACCCATGTGGGAAACCTGGAAGAGGTTCCTGGATCCTGGCTTCGGATCGGCATAGCATCAGCCGTTGCGCTCACTTGGAGAGTGAACCTTCGGACAGAAGATCTTCCTCTCTGCCTCTCCTCCTCTCTGTATATCTGACTTTCCAATAAATAAATAAATCTTTAAAAAAAAAAAAAAAACAAGCACTTCCCAGGATAAAATACCCTAGCCTTAACGCTACTACCTCACCCAAGCTCCCACTGGAAAGACAGTATAAGAAAAGAAAAAAAGAGGGCATTAAACAAATACAAACACAAAACAGCACAGCAAACACAGTAACACAGTCGATCAGAAGGCAGGCAGATCCCCACCAAAGTCTTACAGCTAAACTGGCAGAGAAGAAGGCCAAAAGCATACAAGTACATATTGTAATATTTTTCAAACACATACAGAGGCATAAAAATAAAATTACTTGCAAGTATTTCTTTTGGCAATATCTCTCAATTAATACTACAACAAAGCATATCCTATCATCACAACATCACCCTATTTGGAGATTTTTATTTTCAACTTTAAGCTGAGAGTTCTTACTCTTAAAAACATAGGAAACACAGCCTAGGAGGACCCTGTCCAAGATCCTAGACTGCCTCTTCAATCCCTTCCTCACACCACATGCACTCCAACACTCCTGCTTACACTGTTCCTCCCACGTGACTAGCTCCTACCCTCTGAGACTCACTTAAGGCATCACTGCTTCTATGCAGCTTTACCAAGCATGTTTGGAAGGCAGGAAGAGGATCTTGACTTTAGCTTGCGTATTAACCCCACATGGCAAACACTTGTTGAAATGACCTATAAGATTTTAAGACACCAACACAAAAAGTGACAGTTACTAAGTACTTAAGGTAGACCTACAAGAACCAGCTTTTTGACTCTTTCCAAAACTCCAATGGGTTAGGATCGAACCATGCAGCCCAGAAGAGCTAAGTGTGTTACTCAGAGTCACAACTGACGTGTCGTAAGATGGAGACTCAAACTGGATGGTCTGGTTCCAGAGTCACTGCATTGTAACTACTAGGTTGGGTGATCCTTATAAAACTCTATTGATGTCTTCCAAATGCGTAATCCCAAATATTCAATCTTCAACCCTGAATTTCCAAATGCCTTCTGGACATCACAGATGTCTTGAGACTCAACTGGAACCACCACCTCCCCCTCTCCCTTCCCAACCTTTTCACCACAGTCACCACATTTTCTTTTTTTGGATTATCTAATTGGGTTGAAAATATCACTCATTCAGTTACCCAAAGTAGGAACAGAATGGTAATTTCCAGTTTGTCAATTCTTCTCAAGCCTCACATGGACCATAATGTAAACATCCTAAGTCTCAAACCACCTTACATGAGGATTCTCATCACTTCTAACCCTTCAGTCATTTCATAACCTACTCCTACCTCCGACATTCAATGAAAACTTTTTTTATTATTTTTTTTTTATTGGAAAGGCAAATATACAGAAAGCAAGAGAGACAGAAAGGAATATCTTCTGTCCGCTGATTGACTCCCTAAGCATCTGCAACAGCAGGAGTTGTGCTGATCCGAAGCCAGGAGCCAGGAGACTCTTCTCGGTCTCCCACTCAGGTGTAGGGTTCCAAAGCTTTGGGCCGACCTCCACTGCTTTCCTAGGCCACAAGCAGGGAGATGAAAGGGAAGTCGGACTGCTGGGATTAGAACCAGCACCTATAGGGGATCCCAGAGCATGCAAGGCGAGGACTTTGTGCCAGGCCCAAATGACAACTTTTTAAAAGAATGTGCTATGTATGTGACTGTCCTTTCCCACCCCCCAGCTTCAACTCTTACTATCTCCACACACCCTTAATGTCAATCTTAGGCTGTTCCTTAAAGTGGTCATGTTTTTGAAGATCAACACCCCTATTCACAAATACCCTGATTTACAATGTGCATTTCCTTCCTACTATCTTCATTTTTTAAAAAAAAATTTACTTATTTTTATTGGAAAGCTAGATATACAGAGAGCAGGAGAGGTAGAGAGAGAAAGATCTGTCCATTGATTCACTCCCCAAGTGGCTGCAATGGCCAGAACTAAACCAATCAAAAAGCAGGAGCCAGGAGCTTTTTCTGGGTTTCCCACGCGGGTGAGAGGCCCCTAGCTTTTGGGGCATCTTCCACTGCTTTCACAGGCCACAAGCAGGAAACTGGATGGAAACAAAGACAGCAGGACTAGAACCTGCGCCCAAATGAGATCCCAACATAGGAAAGGCGAGGACTTTAGCCACGAGGCTACTGTGGTGAGCCCACTATCTCCATCTTTCAAAATCAATACTCACAGGGCTGGCATGCTGGCTCAGTGACTATTCCACACCTTGTATGCACCAGGATCCCATGAGTGCCCGTTTATGTCTCAGTCACACCACTTTCCTTCCAGCTCTCTACTTGTGGCCTGGGAAAGCAGAAGAGGATGATCCAAAACCTTTGGGACCCTGCACCCACATGGGAGACCTGAAAGAAACTTGTGGCTCCTGGTTTCTGATCAGCTCAGC